TGCCCAGAACAGCTCGCGCGCGTTTCAACAAGGATGCGCGAGAGCCTCCTGAGGGAGTGACACTGCAACTCGTCGCGCGCGTGGTTATTTATGATTATTTTTAAAACAAAATGTTTAAACTTAATAAAAACGAATCAAACTCGTCGTTTTTAACCGTTTATCAGTGCTTATCTTGGTTTGTCTTCTTCGCTCCTGACTCTCAAAGGGAAGAAAACACGTTTCCAAGTTAATGTCATGTTGTTGTCTTGTTTTTTTTTTTTTTTTTTTTTTATAAAACAACAACGAAACAACAACAACACAACATTAAAGCTGAATTTGGACAGAGATTGACTGGAGGGTTATCCAAACGAGACTAAAACGCTGTTTTTTATTAGCCCATCATGTTACTGAGTTATTGGGTGCACTGATGGGGTTTGTGGTCTCAGATACCTCAGACTGCTTAGACTTGAAAGATTTGGTCAAAATACATTTTAAACGAACTAATTAAGTGTAGTAAGCTATATTAGTACTGTACTTTATCTCATGGCAAAGCATTTTCTATTGGTATTAAAGCTCTATTCAGATGGGATTTTTTCTGCATGGGGAAGTGGCATACCTCTGGGATTTTTGTCCTGTCCAGTGAATGAATGAATGATTTATCTAAAAAAACCCCAACTAATTACAGAATGTACATACATACATACACCCGGGAAGATTCAAATATCCCATATGAACGCTGGTAAAGATCCGGTTATAGATCCTGTTGGTGAGGAGAAGAGGTTTTGCACTTTTTCCTCTAGAATAAAGAGTCTCCAGGAAGTGAAGCGGTCTCTTCGCTCGTCTCCTGCCCAACCCAAAACGAAACCAAGTTCCGTCCGAGTTTCAAATGTAGAATGATAAACCCGACAAGGATCTGACATAGATCAGATAAGGAATGCGGCGTCTCCAGACACTCTATTGTGTAGACGCTTCCATCTCTCTGATGAACACTTATCCCGTCGTCACTTATCCCCATCATAATGACGGCAGACATCCTCTGACAACGTTATTCAACAGACCTACGCCTGGAAGGTTTGTACTTAATCCGACCTCGAATATAATTCACACTTTTTGGGCTGAGCAATATAACAGTGTATCAGTATTGTGATATATAAATACCATGATACTTTATCATCAGGTGTCAGTCTTATCTATCTATCCATCCATCCATCCATCCATCCATCCATCCATCCATCCATCCATCCATCCATCTGTTTCCTTTTCCATGACTTGGCCAGCCTTTGTTTTATTGTGTCAACTAAAAGTACCGTTGTATATAGATTGGTTGGCATGTTTATATTGTACAGATTTACTCAGATACAGGGTTTCCACTGAAGTCATGACTAATATGGGACTGATTTACATAATTACTGTACACTGGACGAAGGGTAAGTGGACGTTACACTTTACGGTGGTCATCTATGCATTTGGCTGTTGGTTTTATCCAACGACACTTAGAATTGAGGCAAAATACAGTCAAAGCTGGGGAGTTGTGCATTGGGGCAACTTATTTTTGATAAATTTTTGATTAATTTTGCGACTCGACCAACACTGTCCCAAGGGCACAAGATTAGAGTACAGAGACAAAACAAGACCCCTTATCCAATTTCCACTTGTCTTCACCCTCTATCTCACCATTTTACTCAGCGGACCCCTCCCAGAGTCTTGCCCTACCCTCTTCTCTTTCTCTCAGTCTGTCACTCTCTCTCCGCCTTCTTACCCCTCTCACACCCCTCCTTTCCATATTGGTCGTTCCCTAACACTGATCTCTCCGTAGGCATTTAACAAGTTCCTGTTTTTCCCTTCTGGTCACCTTGGATTAATTAGACCCCCCACCCATCTCTCTCTCCCTCCTTCAATCTCAAACCCCTCATATGCAGGACATTCGTCTGTTTTGTGATTATTGAGCGGACCGTCATGAAGTTCCAGCCCCCTAGGTAGGGGGTCTTTATGACGAAGAGGGTCACCTTGCACCCTTTGCCAGCGAGAGCTGTTTTTCATTCACAAGTTGACAGAGACACTGTCATCCTTGTAAATGATATCGGGCAGTGCATCACAACAGGGTTTCTTAATTGGGTTGAGACTGAAGACTGAATTATGTCTCTGGCATGGGTTTTCATGAGGGACGGGGAAAAAATGTGCAGAACCTAACGGATGTATTAGTCTACTTCTTTTTTTTTTAAAACCAAAACCTGACACCTATCCAATAAAAATTTATCTGACTTCAGTTCCATTTTAATTGTAGTAAGGGGTTGCGGTGAAAGCTGCAGGAGGGAGTTAAATACTCACTGCCTTATCTGAAGACAGTGAGAGCAAAAGTGTCTCTCGGTCCATATCAGGGAGCAACCATGGATGAAATTGGATAATTAATAGGTTTACATTAAAACGAACGGGGAAAAATACAGTCTTCTGCTAACATAAGACTTTTATTTTTTATTATCCCTGGTTTCTGAGTCCACTCTTCTTCATAGTGCGATCCAGCATTTGATTTGACTTTGAGAATACATCTGAAAATAAAAACGCACGGTTAATGCAAAAACGTGTGTACGCTTGACTGAAGTGGATGAATTTGCTGTACCACACATGATCTGCATGCGTCTTTAGCAACAAAAGACATCATGTTTGCCAGGCAGTCGCTTATAATTGAAGCAGCAACACAAGTCTTCATCGGAAACGTGGTGAAAAATTGCCAGACAGAGAGCCTTTGCTGGTTTCACAGCTATTACTGGCAGGGGATGAGAAACATGTGGGTGCGGGAGAGGAGCCAGGAGTGCAATGTAAAATTGAAACGTGAATTCAGATCCGAGGACTCATTCCAGTCATACATGGTGATATATCGGAAGTCTATCAGCACACTATGCCTTGAATAGGAGCATGGCCAGAGGATGATGGAGACTCATTCCTTGAATAAATGATGATGATAGACAGGGTGTGTTCTCGGCTATTTTCACATCGCGTTTTTTTCCACCTGGGAAATGTGCTTAAAAGTTGTGAAAACCTTTGATTGGCAACATATCAGTTCAGACTCGTGTTTCCTGTGCATGGAGATGCTCCACATTCAGACCTCCTGCTTTCTCACTTATACGGTACGTGTGCATGGACAACAATGTTCCGGTATTAAACAGATTAAGGCGATACTCTGATTAAGAAACCACCATGTAAACAGCGATTATTGATGACCTTAATCCGACTAAAGTCATAATGCCAAATCGAATTAAGACATGGTGTCTTCCTGTTTTAGTCGCATTATCGAGGTGCGTTACAGACATGTACACACCTTAATCACACTATTAAAGCCACCTGGGAGTGTTCACTGCATTTTGCGACAGGACACGTACACACATGGTAGCGCTCAGCCGTTTGACGGCAAACAAGAGAGCACAGCTGCATCCGAAACTGCGCACTTACCCACTATACAGTATCTGAAATACATGTATTTCGGTAAATATGCAGTTTGGGACGCAGCCCACGGCTTCAAGCAGTCGTCTGTTTGCACGTATAGAACGACAAATAATTAACTGCACTTAAAGCTTTCATAAAATGAAACACCCAAAACTGTATACGGTACCATAACGAAAAAAAAAACAAGTTAAATGGCGCACTTATATAGCGCTTTTATCTCATTCACCCATTCACACACACTCACACACCAATGGTAGCAGAGCTGCCATGCAAGGCGCTAACTTGCCATTGGGAGCAGCTTGGGGTCCAGTGTCTTGCCCAAGGACACTTCGGCATGTGGAGTCATGCGGGCCGGGAATAGAACCGCCAATCCTACGACTAGTGGATTAGTGGACAACGAAGACGAACTGTATGTCGATACGTGAAATTCTGGAGGGAACGTCGGACAGCGTGGCGTGGGGACGAAATAGACGCGTGCCGTTAGTCCATCTATGTTCTATAACATAAAACGGGAACATAAAAGGAGTATTCTAAAAGCGACTCATGTAAACACCTTAATCAGAATATTGTCTTATTCAGAATAAGGTCAATAATTAGATTATTTCTGTCCATGTAAACGTAGTCATAGAGACACCAACAACCTTCTGTTCAGTTCCCGATGTGGTCCCGCAGTCTTCGGAAGGTTAAAAGGTGTTCTGTTCTTTTTTTGTATTATTGTTGGAGCACTTTTGAGAATTTTTGCCCGAACAGATATCGGAGCTTGAGGTGTTTGTAGAAAAAATACAATTTTCAGACACTCTTGTTTACTCTTTATACATTTGCCTTATGATTTGTTTACTTCATCAGCCACTTTTGCATCCAACATTGAAAAGAGACTCCTGTAAGCATATGTGTTTAGAGCTGGATCAGATGGCTCACTTATCTACAGCGATGTTGATCACAGTTTAGAGGAGATGAATATGTTGCCATATGCCATCTGATTGGAGTCAGGATGACGCTGTAAAGACACAACACAAAGGTTTGTTGATGTTTATTCTCTCTCACATGGCATTTAGAAATAGACAGGTTACATAATCTGGGTGTGTCTGACAGGACGAATAATCTTCAACATAAAAGAATCAGGATTCAAATCCTGGGGAGCAGGAAATATTGGAAACCTACGACCGGTTAAGTCATGAGTTCATTGGCGATTCAACTGGTACAGTATTTTAACTAAATATCATGTAAAATGAGTGTGCGCTCTCTCTAAAAATGGACCAAACTGTACTTTTCATAGTTGTTCCGGTGGTACCATCAAGGGAATCAATCTTTTGTTCCTTTATTGTGTGTACCTTTATTGTTAAGGTGCATGTGGTATACCTTTAAGGTCTAATTTTGCACCTTTAAAATGATCTTAAAAGGTATCAGATGTAAACTTGGTGGAACCACCGCAACAACAAGGACAAGTACAGTTTGGTACCTTCATTTTTAGAGTATTCTATTATTTTTGTATAGTAAACGTTACAGCTCCACTAAGTGTTACGTGTACAACTCAATTACAACTTAATTACAACTATTGACCAAATGGTTCATAAATATTGGTCACAGTGGTTTAGTGGTTGGCACGTTTACCTCACACCTCTGGGCTTGTGGGTTCGAATCCCACCTCTGCCCTGTGTGCGTGGAACCTGCATGTTCTCCCCGTGCTTCAGGAGTTTCCTCCAGGTACTCCGATTTCCTCCCCCAGTCCAAAGACGACGTGTTGTAGGCTGATTGGCATTTACAAATTGTCCATAGTGTGCGAATGGTGTTGCGATTATGCCCTGTGATGGCCCGTCCAGGGTGTCCCCAACCTTGGGCATCGAGTTCCCTGGGATAGGCTCCAGGCTCCCCCATGACCCTGTGTAGGATAAGAAAATGGATGAGTTCATAGACAAAAGCTGTAATAATTATGACAGTGAAAATATTCTATGTAAAGAGCGGCCTCTTGATTGGATTCAGCAGTATTTTACTGCTTTAAATGTTAACCTTGAAGTTAAATTGATGTTGTAGTCTTGAGTTTCAGTTCTTGGCTCCTGGACAGGCAGCTGTGCGGGGGGTGGGTGGGGGTTCCTTTTGCCGGTGCAGACTTTGCAGCTGTGTCGCTTCGTCCACATCATATTTCTGCATTAAACGAAATGACAGCCATATTTAAGTGAAACCAGGTCTAATGGAATCCATGTCTGTCATACACAAGACCTTTTGTTCACTTGAATCTGAGTTGTATGCATTTCCATTATGGTATAACTTCAGAATTTCTCTGTCATATAGTATGACTAATTGACTTGTGCCAACTGGGCATTACCTGACTTTCAAAATTTCCGAATCGCAGCTCAGTTGGGAGCTTTGTGGACAAACTACACAATCTTTCTGTTTCTGCACCAGACTATTTTGTATGGAAACGAGAAAAAAGAGGAATAAAAGAAAATGTGGAGGAAAGATTGATAGGGGAGATATGGGCAGCAAGGATTGTATGTTCTGCAAAGAGCACTGGAGGAATAATGCGAAGAAAGGTATTTAGATACTGTGCACCACCAGGAATCATGTTCTGCTTTTGGGTGTGTCATGCCAAATAATTTATTATAGAAGCAATACTATTGTGCTTCCATTTTGTCTGTTCCCACACAAATCAATGGATGATCGACTGGATTCAGAGATCTGCTGCGCATGACAGCAGATTTGATTTCATTTGAGTTGACAGATGTTTGATTTCCTCTCGGAGTCTCATTGGCTCTTTCTCACCACTGCTCTTGATACTAGTTACAGAGGGACTCACACTACAGAGACAATCAAACATGATTGGAGCCTTGGCAAGCTGACTGAGAAATTCTCGTGCACAACGTTGGCACATAATGTGCGGCCAGGTGTGAAAAGACCTACTATTGAATGAAATGTGAAGTACATGTAATCAAATGTTATTGAATAATATGTTTATAATGACACTTTGTTGTTATTATTATTATTATTAGCCATTATTATATCCTTTGATCATAAATACCATTCAGAAGACAGTATGTGCTCTACTCAGGCCTAGTCAGCCATGCCAGCCCTCATTCAGCAGGCTGTTTGATCACGTCCCGAGCCCGATGCTTGCTGTGCCCAGCCCTCTAAGCCTTGATGAGGCGAGACAGCGACTAGACGGCAACCATGCTTCCCGTTCCTTCAAATCAACCGCTTCAGAGCACAGCCAAGACAAAAGGACTGGGATTCCTGAGCCGAGCGCCACCATGGCTCTTTTGAAAGAGCATAATGAAGGGACGATGATGCTAGGAGCTCATTCTGAGGGACTGGTAGGTTTGGAAGAGGGTTGAGATCTTTATCTGCACCAGCTCGGTCTTATCAGGCCTGCTCAGTCGAACACTAAGGAAAAAGGTTCCTCGCTGTTGAGATCATTCCAGAGGCACAACAGTCGGTTAGCATTTTCTCAGGAAGACAGGAAAGTACGATGTGAGTCAATCCTTGTCGGGACAGGATCTAGCTTAGCTTAGTAGAAAAGCTTGGATGTATTTCCTTTGGCTGTGGATTTGGTAGACAGGGTAATTTTCTGATTCAAATCATGCACTGGGACGCGTGTTGGAATTAGCGTTGGCTACGGATACGCAACGTGGGTTTCGTCTCTTTGAAAAGTCTTCTTATATGACCATTGTTGAGCAAAAACTCACCACAACAGTTGACGGAACCACAGTTCCAGCTCATTTCGGGGTAAAGAGGACAACAGAGAGGTTTCAGCCAAATGTTGGATCAAGGTTCAGCGATTGCTTGTTTATGAAAGTCAGCCGTGGAGACTAACCGCGGTAATTGGGCATTAGAGCACAAGGGGGTGAAGAATTCGCAGTGGACGCACGCCAGTTCTCTCTTTCACTGTATAATTGAAACAGAACAGAGAAAACATGAGCTACATTCTCTCATAGCCTCCCCCTTTGAACCTCGGAAAGGTGTGAAAGGGAAATGAAATTGGATTTATAACACCGGAACATCCTGTGTTTATTATTGCCTCGCTGGACGTCTCGGACTAATCCAATATTGGAAATTAGAATTCATAGTTGAGTAGTTATATTGCTATTCAAGGTGCAGTATGGACGACTTTATTTCCGCCATACAAAGATGTTAGTCGGCGAATTTGAATGAAAAGGAAAAGCCAAACAGAGATAAAAGGGTTTAATTAGCAGGTTATGTCCCTAGTGATGCTTTTAGCTATATCTCGTTATTATTTGCCACGGTTCTAATCAGCTTAACTTTTTTTTTTTAATATGCAGTTTTAAATGGCCAATCAGTTTTTGAAGGCTCCATCTGGACCATGTTGTCATGTCTGTCTCTGGCAGGAGGCTGATCTGGGATCTGGCAGAAATCCCAGAGTTGTGTGGGGATTTCTTTTTTTTTTTTTTTTTTTAAAAACCCCCAGTGCAGTCTACTCCAGTACCCCCATCCCCCCATAAATCTTCAATACCATCTTTGCTGTTGCCCATACTTTCTTTCTTTCCTCGTAACAGCTGCACACACCTGGTGCCTGAACTGCTCCAGTCACATGTAGGTGGTTTTGATTCGGGGCAAGTGCGAGTAGGTGTAGGAGAACATCCCTCAGGTTACAGAAATCATACACGTTTTCAGCACCCCAGTCCCCATCCTCCAGAGTTTCACAGTTCTCGCTCACTCGCTTGTGCCCTACCCCCCCACCCCGCCCCCAAAAGATTTCCACTCAGCATATGGCAGGGAGCTCGTCCTGCCACTCTGAGGGGGCATGAAGCTTTGAGCCCTTTGTGTAAATAAGAATGTTAAAAAATAAATATATTTCTACTTCACTTTATTGTAACCAGAGTATAGTCACTGACGCTAAATACTTCATACAACTTTTTTGCACGTCTTTAAGATTCGATGCAGACTAAGAGAAGCGACTATTCCAGTTACCCTAACCACAGAGCCCTCTGAAGTGTCTCGATGTGCACACATGTGACCGCAGACACGTCTCATTATGTCTTTGAAACGCATGAGATGGATTTCAGTGGTTTTTGATATTCAATGCACTGTGCATGGCATACTCAAGGAACCCTGTCTCCATTTTAAGTGGCCTTTTGCAAAAAAGAATCTGTCAACATGTCCCTCTCTAGTCACCTTAGGCAACAATAGCACAGAACATGACCTCTCTTATGGTCCCTCTCCCTTTGTCCTCTCATATGGTCTAATCCTGTGACCTGCTCCTTTCACCCTGTCTCGACTTACTATGGCAGCTATGATTTATCCCCCTGTGATGACGTGTTCCAAAACCAGAACGTAAATAGGTCTCTCAATGGTGGACAAATCATAAATCTATTATCTAACTCTCCAGCCAAGTGAAAGCTCGAGTGGAAGTGCGTTACGTTTGAACGTGCACACCAAATGAACACATTGGTTTTGTGAACGTCAATATGAAGTAGTTTTTTTTTTTTTTTGTCTTGTTGAACCTACTTGTCCCGCAGGGAACTACAAACAAAAACAACAATCCCTTGGACATGAAATTTGCTTCTCCAGGGCAACCCTGCCTCTAAATCAATCTTTCTAAATCTTAAAAACCGCACAATCCGTTTTCTCCAACACTTTGATTCTTTTACTCCAGAGACTTGAGAGAGAGTTTATACAGTCGAGTAAATATTGGACAGGCACTTGTTGCCTCTCTGCAAAACCAGCCTCTCAAATAAACACAGCATTTGCTTTCTCTAAAATGTCAAATTACTAAATGTCATCCCCAACCACATAAACAGGCTGCCCTTCTCTCTTTGGTGCTTATCATGTTTGAGGTTGGCCTTTAGAAGAGTGCGGCCTGAAAGCCAGAGCAAGCCTTCACAAGTTCAAAGTGTGTGGCTACTTAGTATGCATGTTGCTGCTCATCCTAAAAGAAAAAAAGAAAAAAAAAAAACCATGGCATGGTTTCCTACCAACAGGGAAAGTCCTAATCTGATGTTGGACCAGATTCCACTGCCATCATCATGGCGAACAATCATCTAAACATTTAAATGTGATTAGCTTCCCTTGAATACAAGGTATTTGTAGCTGGTATTTGTAGCTGGACACGTTTGTCTGAAGTAACATCCTGGTCATGCTGATCTTGTGAGACGAATTTGAATGTTCGGTTTCATTCGATTGAGGACATACCCGGATAGACCAATTATAAAGTGATTAGCTAGCGCACTGGGCAATGGAAAATAAGCAAATACTTGAATCCCTGCGTGTGACAACTTTATGTAGTCTTTATCCTCTCCTAGAAATGTCTCTGGTGATGAAGCACATTGATCAAGAAGACTTTGGCTGATGTTTTCGATGAATGAACTTGAGAGATAGGAATGTAACGTTCCCGAAATGTTCGGTTAACTTAAAACTGTTAGCTGGGAAGGTTCTATGTCGAAGCTTTTAACTGAGAGTTCCCCATTCAGAGAGAGTTTCTGAAGCAAAGAACCATTGAGAGAACCTTTTTTTTTCTTGGAGCGTAACGTACATTGAAAGTATTTTGGATATTCACAGCTAAAACCGAGATTTTATTTGTTAAGTAACATTAGCATTTGGAGGTGGCATGGTGGGCGTTTTAGTTTTCCTTGTAAGAGAACCCACAACAAACCTCTAGCAGCCCTCATCGGCACTTCGGCACGGTGCCAACATCCTGCCAC